CTTTTGACACATTTTTTAAATTCTATTTTATAATGCTCTATGTACAATGGTTAACTGGTAACACTAACCTATATGAAAACTTGAATACTATCAACTCAATCTAAATAAAAAGATACTTATTAGTAAAATATTTCTGTGCTTGATGCATTTATCAATGAATTGTCGTGCAAAGGAGCATGGTTTTTGATGTGTTACGGGATCAGCAGGAACAAAGAGTGTGGAGCTCTGGAGCTCACGAAGCATCAGCCATACGAGTCACATATATATAGTAGGCTGACGGGGGTGGGGAAGCGAGAGAGCAGACGAAGAACAAAAAGCACCCGATGGGTTCTGAAGTAATTTGCATTCGGTTGCTTCCACGCTATGGCAGCTCGATTGTCGGCGAAACGCAAAACAGATAAGCGCGAGTCAGCAGCGAATGAGCTTGAGACGTGCATCGCCAAATTTTGCGATTCGCCTCCGAGGTTTTCGCGTTCTTGCATCTCCGATGTGTTTCAACGGGCTATCTCTCTCTCTCTCCCTCTCTCTCCCTCTCTCTCTCTCTCTCTCTCTCTCTCTCTCTCTCTCTCTCTCTCTCGCGCGCGCACGCTATTGTTCGGTAGACGAACCGACGAGCCTGCGAGGAAGAGCAGAAGGGCGAGGTGGAGGGAAGACAAACGGTACGGGGGCTTTATGCGCGAGTTTGCGGCCAGCAACGCGAGTGTTGCTCATTTGTCGTCAGCTGGCACGGGACAGCGGTTAAGCCGAATTATTGTGTTTACGCGGTTTTTCTCAAATAATTTCGGTTGAAGAAAAATCATGTACATTTATCTTTTCGCAAGCAGATACAAAACAGAACTGATCTCTTCCATGTTTTTACCTTCTGAAAATATATCTACCAACTATAAATAAATCAAAATTCTGATTATATATTTAATTAATCATTCTGTTTATAGCATAAGTCATTTATAGAGATTATTTTGATCAAACGCCTATGAGATTTTATTATGTTATTAAAGAGCGTGTGCACTTTATATTTTATAAAAGGAAATATTGTCCTTAGATTATTGAAATACAGCTGCTAAGTTATTCTGGGCCTGTAATTAATAACTTTTTTTTTTTAATTTAAACATGGCAATCGTCTCGCTAAAATTAGATTTCGCTTTTACTGTTACGCTATTGATATATCTGTAGAGTTAGCATTCTAAAGATATAAGCAGGAATATAGCATACACGTTCTATATTGAGTTGTTGTGGGAAGTTACAGTTATCGATCGACACAGTAAAATCTACGATACAAAGGCATTTATTAACGATTTACATGGCGGAATATATTGAATTGACCAGCAAAAGCGCTAGACAAGATAACGGAGGTCAAAAACACTGCTAAACATTGCGTCAATGAAGGCTACGAAGCTGGCGCAGCTAGAAAAGTAGAACTCGCGTAGAAAGCGGCAATGAGCTTCTTCAGCGAAAATTCGCGTGCGCGCCGGTCGACACAATCGTGCGAGGCGGGTATAAACGTGACTTTAAGCCCGCGAGGCACCGACAGCTTTCATAAGCGCAATAACAAAGCTCTGCGCGCACCAATTGAAGGCTTGCGATCACGCCGGCGGTGAAAGTGATTGTAGAAGCTCGAAAGCACAGTTGAAAACTAGCTACTAAAGCGCGAAGCCCAGCTGCTTTTAGAAGCTATGTACGAAACTCGTTAGTTGGTGACTTCGAGGCTGGATATTTGGCCCTCTTACGACACGAATGAACTTTAGCCTGACTGACTTGGTGCGCGTTTTTTTTCTCGTTTTTTTCCTTTTTTTCACTGTAAGGGAAGCGCAAAATGAGGCTGGCTCGAGTCATAAATTCTCAAGCGTAGAAAGCCCAATGAGAAGGGAGTTAAGTGCTCGGTTCTCTCTTCTACATCGTCCGAGTCTTATCTACCTTTGTTCCGTGATTCGAACTTCTCGCGGGCACGCGCGCCCCTTAAATTATCCCGCTCGAATAAGCCACGCTCGCGAGGCTGCACGCCTTGCAAATTGACGCTCGCGCTATTTAGGAGGTACTTTAACCTGTCGGACACTGCACCTCGTGCACTCAGTACAGCCCTCCCCAACCCGGAGACTTTACGACCATTGTAACGCTTTTACCCTCTACTTGATAGCTTGGATTACTCAACTCAACCTTCGGCAGTACCTTTTTACAGCAAGATCGCTCCTCGACGTCCAAACTCTCAAGGTGTGCATCTACGAGATTTCAAATTTGCCGACAATATCAACGCAAGGTCTGTAATCATTCCACTACAAGCTGCAATAAACGTTTGCCATTCCACGTCGCTTCCGCCCAGCTCTTATCATGTTGCGCTCTATTAGCCGCCGCGTATACTCGTTTAGACCACGCGGGATCAAGTACTCCCTTATGTCAGATTACACGAACGATGTCCACGTTGACAGGACGCAAAGCCTAATTCATTTCCGAGTTACTTAAAAGCCCCCCGCGGTCCACACGCGACGCGACTGTTGCGTTCGCGTGAACTTCGCATTTCGACGATACTCACTTTGCCTCCCTTCTCTCTCTCTCTCGATTACGATCCTCGTCAGGAAATACCGTGTAATTATAGCCTGGCGCGTGCCAACACTACTGCTATTAAGGAAAAACCTTTAGAAGGCCAAGCGTACTGTTGCTACTGTTACTGTTTCTGCTGTAGGCCAAAGGCTCCGCAGTAAAAACGATTTGACGAGTATAAGTAACCGTCACGAGTTTTGACTTTTTTAGAGCATTATTATTCTATGTCTGACTAAAACCTTAGTACTTCCACTAAGGTATTCATGTCTATTACATAGTCAATCAAGGCTTATGCATTTTTCAGTCAAAGTAATCTCTTTTTAACCGTAAGTTTCTCATTATCTTACACTATAGTTTTTAAACTTATCAATAAGAATCGCCTTTTTTATCCATCATTGATAAATTCGAGTGAGAATATCTCCAAAATCGATATTATCAATAACTTTTCAATGTCCTGATGTAAAAAAGCATCAGGACATTGTATAAAAGAACTATTGATCTTGTCGTGCCCTATGTTTTAGTAAAAAATATCAGTACTCAACATTCATGTATTTTATTGTAGTTTGTTCTTCGGTTTATTGAAAATTCAAACAGAAATATTTTAACTTTATATTTGCACAAGAGATATAAATTGTACTTCATAAAATTTAGAAAACATCGAACTTGATTACACTACTTGAAAGTTCATTTGAATCTAATAAAAAAAATACTTAAAGTAAATGATCGATGAAAACAAATAATCCAATTCAACAAAAAAATTATGCTTCACGGTATAATTATAAGTCTAGTTTGTGATAAATCGTTTCGTGTTATCTATTTTTGAAGTTTAAATAAAATATACGTGGGCATAAAAACGGTAGACTATTTCTGAAAAATAATTAAATTTAATTTAATTAAAAGTATCCCGAGTATTGTAAAGTATCATATTCTAAACTTGATTTTACCTTTGATTTGATAACTTAAAATCACTAAAATAAATTGATATAGTTATATGCAGAAAAGCCATAGAAACGTATTAATTTTATTGTCAGAATATTTTAGAGTCTATGTATAGAATATAGATTCATGAATAGTAGAATGACAGTAGAGGTAATCTAAAAACAAAGATGAATATGCGAAGTGAGAATGTTAAAGTTTTTGAGAGCATCGACTACGCCGTACGATCGATAAGTGTATAAGCGCGTAAAAATGTGTTCAGATGGGTAACGTAAGCTTCTACACTGTACGGTCGATGAAGCGTTAAACATGTTAGCCTGTGTTCATAGAAGTAAAAATACGAACACGACCGAAGAGTCTTTATCGTTAGTTTTTGAACCCTTTTTAATCTAATTAATTCTGAGCTAATCAATTCGATTAAATAAATTAAATTATAAATTTTATATATATTTGTCTTCACGACATTACTAAAAGCACACAAGTAGGTTTATATCAATAATTGTAATAAAATGTCACCTAATAAAGTTTTCATATCAAAAAAATAATGAATAATTAATAATAATTAAGTAGCTGAAAAGATATTTTGAAAATTATTAGCATTATGTTTGAATAAGATATTGTTCACAGAGCAATAAATCCATCTCAAGAATCGAGGAACAATCATTTTAATGTCATTCTTTGAAAAAGCTACTGTATTATTTATTTATCCATGATTGTGAATTTTTATATGAATATGTTATTTTACATTTCTGTAAGACTATTTGACATTATTTGCAGCGGCTTATAATTTTTTTCATAAAATTCGTGTCCCAACCAAAATATTTTTATAATTACCAAGTGCTACTATACAAGTTAAGATATAAAATTGATTAGCTGCAGGATGTCAGAAACGATGGTAAACAAAAAAAAATTAATGTTAAACATTAAGTTGTATGTGAACTTGGCGTGATTTGTTATTAATAAATTACAAGAAGGAGTTATGAAACATTCCTTAATATAAAATTCATGTTTCAATGATTGATTTAGTTATAAATTAATGTTTGTTTTTAATTGTTAAGTTTGCCAAATATAGCAAACATTTATGTTATACCTGATGATTTATATCTTAAGAAGTTATCTAATTTATTTAGACGAGGAAGTATGTAAATTATCACTAGATGCATCACATTGAACATGTTAACTGACAATAACTATACTGCAAAACGTTTCTTTATAAAAAATATATATTTTTAAAACTGATATCGCCATCAAATATACCTTAGGAAAATATGACGACTCCATTTGCGGGAGCTAAAGTTCACGATAGAAGGTAAATCACTTGGAAAGTGTAATGCCCAGAGAGCCGTCAAACGGCGCAATTAGAGCATCGCTGACGAAAGTCGCTGGGTGGAAGCTGGCGATAAGCCGCCAAGTCGGCGGCGACAGCTGCAGAGGCGAGCGTCGCTTCGGTTCTGCTTTTTTTCTATCCTTTCTATTACTTTTTGTCGAGCTGAAGCAGGGTCACAATAACACGGCGGTTCTGCTTGCAGGCATGTCGGCGCGAGGCCCAGACGGAAATAGAGAAGCGCACCCCTGCCTCGAGAGATGGGGCTAAGCAGATAGGAGCCGGAGAGGAGCGTGGACGTGGGCCGTGATGCTGGCGAGGAGTGCGATGCTCGCCCAGCGCGTCCTTGCTATTCTTTTCATCGTCAACGTGCCTATCGGTATGTTCACAATTTAGCTTACACTTTTCACGCATCTTTAACTTGAACTTTCACTTGTCGATTCTTTGTCAAAGTCAAGTGAAATTATGCGTGACGATCTTTTTCATTCAGAAGAATGGCAAGTTATTTACAGTTATAATTGTGCAAACACACACACACACATAAAATTGACGTTACACAATTGTGATAACGTTATGTTAGTTGAATCAAGGAACACAACGCTTTCACACGCTATTTTCGTGATTTTAATACTAGGAAATGATATTCAGCATTTTTAATTTCTTTACTTTTTAATTAAATATACGCATTTATAAAAACAACCTTCAATCAACGAAAGAATTTCTTTCAACGTCATAAGCACGATGCATTAAAATAATTTTGAAGTTAACAGGCTACTTAATTATGCCTATAAAGTAAGCATTTTCTCTACTCGACCCAGAAAATGTAATTTAATTCAGCGAGTTCTTTCTCTTTCTGAACGTTGGAAGAACTAAGGTAGCGAGGCTCATTATCTTTTGCCTACATTATATTCCAAAGATAAAAGTTGAAAGGTACAAATCTAAAGAATATTTTGTTGCATTATTTTCTGCCGACGGTAGCGACTTTCTAGCAAATATAAGACTGTTCTGAAGATAACTAACGTGTAGTTTGTCTTATCTCGAAACAAGGAACTTTCCGCTCAAATTGGCAGTTCGACGAAACAGCTTTGGAGGAAAGTGATTAATCGATCCTGACACTCACAGTAACGGGAGCGCAAGCTTATACACTGTAACAAGATGTGGTTAAACAAATAAATGACAATTTTCACAATTTTTAAACACTGAATTCACTTTAATATTATTGCAATCGCGTTTTAGATTTTTATGTATTTAAATTGGTCCAGTACTAATTGCTGAGTGAGGTAATGAAGGGAAAGAACACGAACTCAACTGATATACTAAAATAAATATGCAGTATCACGGTCGCCAATAGTCTAAAAATATAGGCAGCTTCAAAAAGCAAAGCCCTAAAGCTAAGGTGAATTCGTATGATGAAACGAATTGGATGAAAAGAAGATAAAAGCGATACAAGCAAAGAAAATCAAGGAGGAAGAAGCTTTGAAGTTTGAGAATTTATGATTTGCGAAATGGACTTTCTCCCGCTCTCTTTCTCTTGATGGCAGTTTCGTTCCTTATTTTCACACGGCCTCGGCTATAGCCGTCAGGCTCGGCATCAAACTCTCTGATTCTCGCATCCGTTGTGCGGCGCGGAGCGGCGGTAGTGACGGCCGACAAGTGGTAGAGCTCGGAATATAGTCTGCCGCGCCTGGCTGTTTGCTCTGGCTGGTGGTTTGCAGTCTCGAGTTCTAGCCACCATTGATCCTCTTTGCAGCTCGACTGCGCAGGAGAAATGCCCGAGATTGTTTATAAGACTTCCGTGACTGTCGCCGCCCGCCCGACTTTTCAAGAAAGACGAGCCGCCCCGGCCAAGCAGATTGTGTGTACAAGGTTTTGCTGTCTGCTCGGCAGCTTTCCACTCTTCCTGCCAGCCTGCCAGCTTTCCTTCCTTCCGCTTGCCTACCTCGGGGACGATCCCTTTGTGCGTAACCCCCTCACAAAGTACATAAAGTCAACCGAAATTCTCAATGTCATATTCATTATCAGTACTTTTTGCGACATAATGCTTGCTTCGTCGTTGTTTCAGTCGCTCAAGATGCCTGATCTTTGTTTCTCTTAACTACTATAATTCTGCTGTTTTTACAACTTTACGTTCAACTCCAATACGAACTGCCTTGATGGAATATTACACTCAACCCAGAACAAATTCTCGTTACATCGTTTTATTCCATATTTTCATTTGTCATAAATCACAATTCTTGTTAGGTAAAATATCAGATTTTCATAACAAACTCTTGTCCTCTCGAAGAAGTAAAGTGGAGACTGTTGCAACGAAAGTCATCGTGACTGAAATGAGAGAATCGAAGGACACGTTCAGTAAGCATTAGAGACGAGTGGTAGGTTAAAACGTATATCTCGAACGAGGACGATGCCGACAGCGTTTAGTCAACGGAGACGCACGTGCGCCGATACAATTAGTATCGCCGTGTGGTCCAAATGCTCGGCGAAGAGTCGTTAAAGTAAACAAGGGCTCATTCGAAGCAAACAAAAGTACCGTGAAGCCATTAATTATTCAGCTTGTTGTAATTAGAAAGCGTTCGTGGTCGCTCTCCCTCTCTTTCTCTCTCTCTCCTTCTCTATCGTGAAATGATCGAAGAAGTAGGGAGGACAATAAGGCAGGGACGACGGCCTCAGCTCGGTAACAGCGTCCCGAACGTAAAGTTTTCGTAGACCGAACCTAACGTATTTTCCTAACAAACGAGCTTTTTTGTTTAATCCGCGCTTGCTTTGGATCGCGGAGCGAATGAAAGTCGAACGCTCGCATCTCGTGATTCGCTTGCTCTCTGCTTGTCTGTTTTCGCATCTGTTTCTTTGGCTTTTCGCGGCTGCTCTCCTGCTAGTGCTGCTGGCCTTTTTTTCTCCTCTTGCGCGCTTCGATTCTCATCCTTGCCACCCGCGGCTCAATTGAGTTCTGGACCGTGGTGATCCGATTATCGCAAACCTCTCTGTCTCTGTCTGTCTGTCTCTCTCTCTCTTTCTCTCTCTCTCTCTCTCTCTCTCTCTATCTTTCTCCTCTCTATTCTTGCTCTATTCTAGGCTTGTGTACACACACTCGCCTCGGCAATTCTTCACTAAAGAGAGGGAGAGAGACAGTTGCGTTACTGTGGAGATTAGATCCTTGGTGAGAGCTTCACTCAGCGTAGTTTATCGCCTTCGCCAATTTTAGCCAACTCGTGTAATGTTGCCGCATGTCAAAATTTTAGATATTCCAATAGTTCCTTGACGTAACTCTCGACAAAAATACATATTGTCTCGTTGTCAGACGTATCATTTATCTTTACCACTATCCTATTTACCTTACTTTTCTTGGAAAAGCTTGACTATTTGTGTCGCGCAATATCACATTTCATAATATTCTTTTACGCAAGCCGTTGCTTAAACGAAACTGTAATTTTTCTTTTTTGCGAACTATCAAAATTTTCGTTAAAAATAAATGATACGTTTTATTTTGTATCTCACCTATTAACAAGGTTTAAAGATCATCAGAGAACTTCTGGAAATTAGCAGACAAAACATATTTTATCTTACATGATAATACAAAGTATGTTACATATTTGAAAAAGAGACAGAAAAAGGAAAGTGAAAAAGATGAATGTACATTAAAAGTAAAGATTAAAAAGTGGAACGAAAAGCAGGATGACTAGATGAATCTACTCGTATAGTGGAAGAAAGCACGAGAGTCACGTTGGCCAAAAGAGGATGGAAGTAAGAAGAGAAAGAGAAAGGAAGATTTGGGTGGTGATAACGCGATATGGATAAGTAAGCGAAAGTCGAGTTGGGAGATCTCGGTACGACATTACGCTGGCGCACTTTGCGAATTGCCATTGAAACGATGCTAGTCTGCAGACGCGCCAAGCAGGCTAGGTGTGAGAGGGAGAGAGAAAGCTGCAGCGCCAGTTCTCATTCTCGCGCGCAAGGCTGCTTTTCGATTCAGCGCACGTTGCCACGCAAACACACAGACCCACAGCTCAACCTCAAACGAACTGACTCACTCACACTCCTTTACCACTGTCTAGCTCTCTACTTCCGGCCCTTCTGCCTCTTCTTCAGTACTATCCACGCAGAAAGCTAAAGTGTCACTGCATCGTCGTTCATTCGATGGCATCCGCAGACAGTTTCCTCGGAAAGGAAAAAAATCGCGGGTTTACGTGCACATCGCTGTAGCACTAATCATATAATTCGTACTGGACGCCACCGTAACCATGTAATTCATTGCAGACAGGAATAATCATCTCTTTTATTCGATAGATCATTTGTTCTGTTCGCGAGGCCGTCTACTATTTATATTCAATTCAATTTTCAATACAGACCGAAGAGTCCAAGTACGAGAATTTAAATAAAGATTCTTCTTTAAGTGAGCATTATACCTATAAATTCAATGAGCGCATATAAATACCATTATTGAATAACCTGAGAGTGAATTTTGAATTATCTTTAATAGGCCAGACTGAAGCGAGAAATGATGCTACAATTAGCAACATGCTTCGAATTTCGAATATAATAAATTAGATTAGATACATCTTAAAATAAATAATTGCAATTAAAAATATATAAAGTCTGCAAGTCCATCAAGTTGGAGAGTTTAATTGAAAAAAGAAAAAAATTTATAGTCCACGGGAGAAAGATCATAAGATAGGAGAGAAGAGGGATGCTGTACAGGCGCGGCGAGTAAAAAGCGCGAGGTGAATGGGGTCGAAAAAAGGTAATATTGAAAACAGGCGTTGATTTATTAGCAGGCCGCGCCTGTGGAAAGTGCGTGCTGTCCGAGTGGATCGGAAAAGTAGTCGCTTGGGAGTTTTGGCGCGGCGGCGCGGCGCGAAAGAGAGATAGGGAGAGAGCGAGGGCCTCGATAAATTTTCGCTCTGTTTTCGAGCAATCCCCCCGAGGGCCAACTCAATTAGAGGCAATTAGGAGAGCGGCGCACGCTGCTGTTGATATAACAGCCGTTAGCCGTGGCGCGCCGGCCGCGCCGAGAGCAGAAAGAGAAATAGCCCGCACACCGATCGAATGGTTATATCGATATAGACCAACTTTGAGAACTCGTTAAGAAAAACGCCCTCGGAATACGGGGCGCTGCCGCCACCAGTCGCGCCACCGGCTTACTAGGGGTGGAGGGAGGCGCAGGGCGCCGAGCGAGCAGCCACGCGCTCTGCTCGCCTGCCGCCCTCAAATCTGCAACTGACACTGCTGAAAACGTAAACTCATTAAAAATGAAACAAACGCCGAGCCGCTGCTCTTGGATCTGCCGAACGAGCACTGGAGATTCGTTCCTGCAAATTGCTTCTTGTCCGCCCCGCTCGGTTGCCTCTTGCTTCGTTAAGATTCAAAGTTCCGCGGTTCCTG